CTCTGTCCGTATAGAATGGCCCTTACACGGCCCAAGTTTCTTTCCTTTATCTCATCGCATTACGCAATGCCCACTCTTTATTCTGTGCTAATGCCCTGCTACATTAAAATACTTCAAATTACCAAAACTTAAAACATACAAGCGGACAATTCTCTCAGTGCAAAGTTGATTGCGTTTTTCATTTTTGTAAGAGCTCCGCACGTCATCTTATTAGTAAGTAAACCACAAAAAAACAAGTATGATAGTCATTGAATTCGATAACCATAGGGTATTATTACACACTGCCATAAGTATCATATAACTGAATCCCGTTTATATAAATCAGGTCAAAATTAATTCGTCACTGTTATGTCCTGAATTAACTGTTTTTAAAACCTTACGTTAATGACACATGTCCCTTTTGTTAACCAAAACACTATACTGTATCGATTACGTGACCGACTCCACAACACGGAACAGATCTGCGATTCTCGTTGATTATGTTACTGACTACACAACATATACCCACAGAGAAGTAATATTAATTCTGTGGCAATGTAAATATATTACCACAGAGAACCGAGAGGTTAAATATTTATATTACTTCTCTGTGATATAACTCATCTGCTTGCTTCGTTGGTTATACGTGACTGACTAGAACAGTTCTGCGCTTCTCGTTGATTAGGTTACTGACTACACAACATATACCTTATCTGCTCGCTTCGTTGATTACGTGACTAATTATCACAACATAGAACAGTTCGGTGCTACTCGTTGTACTGACTACACAACATATACCGTATCTGCTCGCTTCGTTGATTATTTTACTGACTACACAACATATACCGTATCTGCTTGCTTCGTTGATTACGTGACTGACTACAATTATAAATTATCACAACATAGAACAGTTCGGTGCTACTCGTTGTACTGACTACACAACATATACCGTATCTGCTCGCTTCGTTGATTATTTTACTGACTACACAACATATACCGTATCTGCTTGCTTCGTTGATTAGGTTACTGACTACACAACATATACCTTATTTGCTCGCTTCGTTGATTATACGTGACTGACTAGAACAGTTCTGCGCTTCTCGTTGATTAGGTTACTAACTACGCAACATATACCGTATCTGCTCGCTTCGCTGATTATGTTACTGACTACACAACATATACCGTATCTGCTCGCTTCGTTGATTATGTTACTGACTACACAACATATACCGTATCTGCTCGCTTCGTTGATTAGGTTACTGACTACACAACATATGCCGTATCTGCTCGCTTCGTTGATTAGGTTACTGACTACACAACATATACCGTATCTGCTCGCTTCGTTGATTAGGTTACTAACTACGCAACATATACCGTATCTGCTCGCTTCGTTGATTAGGTTACTAACTACGCAACATATACCGTATCTGCTCGCTTCGCTGATTAGGTTACTGACTACACAACATATACCGTATCTGCTCGCTTCGCTGATTAGGTTACTAACTACGCAACATATACCGTATCTGCTCGCTTCGTTGATTAGGTTACTAACTACGCAACATATACCGTATCTGCTCGCTTCGTTGATTAGGTTACTAACTACGCAACATATACCGTATCTGCTCGCTTCGCTGATTATGTTACTGACTACACAACATATACCGTATCTGCTCGCTTCGCTGATTATGTTACTGACTACACAACATATACCGTATCTGCTCGCTTCGTTGATTATGTTACTGACTACACAACATATACCGTATCTGCTCGCTTCGTTGATTAGGTTACTGACTACACAACATATACCGTATCTGCTCGCTTCGTTGATTAGGTTACTGACTACACAACATATGCCGTATCTGCTCGCTTCGTTGATTAGGTTACTGACTACACAACATATGCCGTATCTGCTCGCTTCGTTGATTAGGTTACTGACTACACAACATATACCGTATCTGCTCGCTTCGTTGATTAGGTTACTGACTACACAACATATGCCGTATCTGCTCGCTTCGTTGATTAGGTTACTGACTACACAACATATACCGTATCTGCTCGCTTCGTTGATTAGGTTACTGACTACACAACATATACCGTATCTGCTCGCTTCGTTGATTATGTTACTGACTACACAACATATACCGTATCTGCTCGCTTCGTTGATTATGTTACTGACTACACAACATATACCGTATCTGCTCGCTTCGTTGATTAGGTTACTGACTACACAACATATGCCGTATCTGCTCGCTTCGTTGATTAGGTTACTGACTACACAACATATACCGTATCTGCTCGCTTTGTTGATTAGGTTACTGACTACACAACATATACCTTATCTGCTCGCTTCGTTAATTTTACGTGACTGATTACAAAACATAGAACGGTACTGCGCCTTGTCAATTATGCTGCCCTTAGCACACACATGCTCCAAGCCTCACTGCTGCTTGGTTCAAATTAAAGCCCGACCATCGAATTCAAGTAATTAATTCATTTGAGTTCTATAGTTGATCATCGTTGTCAACTAATAATTTGTTATTTTTTTGCTTTTGATTATTTTGTTAAAATTTTCATCTAAAGCTCTATCGACAGAGGTAAAACAGACGTCGAGTGAGTTCATTTAAAGTTGGCAGATGTTGTAGTTTTGTCATTACAAACATATAACGTCCCACAAAACTCGCATACTTTCTTTTCTCAACTTTACCCAAGTGACGAGTGACTATGTTATAGTTTGTCGTGGTAGTATAGTTACGGTACGGCACAGTACAGTATAGTTCAGTATTGATTCTGAGGGAGAGAGATGGGGAGAGAGACCGCGGGCTGGACGGGCCGGGCTGCGGGCTTATCGAGGTAAGAGCGCGCGTATCTTGACAACAGCCGCTGACCCTGACGTATGTCACCCCTCCCCACCCCCGCCCCCACTGTGCTCTGTTCGCTAACCCTTCAAATGACCCTCTCGTGTCCGGCTCTTGCTGCCCCGCGCCCACTGCTCTACACAAGGATAATCTCATAGACAACTGGCTTGTAATTTGCTTCTAGCCTATTGTTACTATTGAACACAATGTAGGCTAATTATTGTATTATTATTTTAAAAAAATCCTCTTCCGCATTACATAAAACCGGGATAAGAAAGTTATAATATCCTTACCTGCATTTTAAAACCGTTGTTGTATACAGTGTACAAATCACAGCTTTCATAACACTATATTGTATATAAATGTACAGTTTATATCTAGTGTGCCACCAATGACAATTTATTTGATTGACTTAAAACAGTGGGCTACAAATTACTAATAAAATAGTTTTTGAATTAATTATACATTTTAGCATAGACAAAAAATATTTAAATATTTTTGTATATGATTTTAGGTACTAGATAACTTGATAGTATGACCATTTATGAGCATTTTATTGTTAATTTAACATGTTTACTTCCGTATTCACAGGAGATAATTTAGAAGATTTAATCGGTCCATACAATAATTGGATTTGGCTTGTCTAAGGGTTTTATGTCTGCGTGACGAAATATGTTGTTATACTGTGGTATTATTAATGTGTAGGTCCAGGAAAATTTTTTTATTAGTTAATGAGTTAGCCTGGACACACCTTTTTTTACCAAAATTGTACATCAAGAGCAATCAATCCATTTAAGTAGTGAGGATTTTTCCCCATGACTCACCCCCCACCCTCTTCAACACACACACACACACACACACAATGACAACTTCAGTTTCCTTCAGCGAGTCGTCTACACGGACAGACTTGAATTTGCTAAATAAATATTTATGCTCTATGCTAGAATTGATATACACGGTATAATATTAAATATATTATTATATAATATATAATATAATATAATATAATATAATATATAATATAATATAATAATATAAAAATACTGTATAATATAATATATATATATATATTATACAGTAATTTATATACCAATGCAGTTTTTATTACCATCAGATTTAGTATTAATTGGTAAGGCAACAATTATGTGATACAAACTGTATAAATAGGCCTGCCGAATATTAATTCATTGTTGTTTGCGTTTAGTGAAATACAATGTTTTTCCAATGTATGTTGTTTATATTTTTAAAAGAAATTTTAATTTACATTTAAATGATAATATTGAGTACGGCAGCTGAAAATAATACATTTTAGACTTTTATGTCGATGCAATGTAAATATTAAATCTCTAGAGGACAAAAAGTATAAATTATATTAAATATGTATATGAAACCCACGAACATAAAAACAACTGTATTATTAAAACTTAACGGAAGAGTTTTTAAATATTATTACTCCAATAAACTGATGTAAAGTAGAGTAATTAGAAACTAAACAAAAATCTTGATCTTAATAATAAAATCTTACATTAAGAAGTGCACACGAAATAAAAATAATAGAACTACTCGTAAAGAATAAAATGGACAAAGTGATGAATGGACGAGACGTTATATGACTCATTCATGTTACTCGATCGACCGCACAACGTAAAACCAGCTATGAATGAACGAATCAACAGGTGGCATCGGTTAAAAGAATAAAGCAACAATAAACGAGGCGAATTGTTAAACAAGTGGGTTAAAGAGTTATGAAAAGTTGTGGCGCGAGGGGAGGCGGAGGAAGGGGGGAGTGCAACTCGTAGCAAAGTTTTAAAACAAACTTTCCCGCCGTTATCAAAATACCGCAAACTTTACAGATTACATTAAAAGTTATCCCGGCATGTTTAGTTTGTACGTCTGACATTATTGCACAGTCGAAGACGGGTCAATCGCGAGTTAGGGGTAGAGAGAGAGGGGAAGAGAAGGGACAGTTCGCAGCTCGCACGGTGTCCACTGACATTATTAGGTCGCGGGAGACAGAGATAGAGAGAGTAGCGGGGTGGGGGAGGTCCCGCCTACCCCTCCGAGCAGCCAGTGTCCACCCGCGAGTAGGAAGGGAGGGGGACGGGGTATTGATCGAACAAAGGAAGGACCCAACCTTCCTTCCGCTCATGTTTTTTCGTCGACGGCCGCGATGCCTCGGCTAGTCGCGACTTCGAGGTCCGAGGATACGGACATATCGCCACGGAGAGTCGGAGGTCCGAGACAAACTACACGCGCTCCGAGCGAAGGAAAAACACCGGCCGTCCGTCTCGTTTTTATTGGTCGATTAACTACATCTCTGCGCCAATGATAGACGCGTGGGTGGAGCTTACGGTTAAAAAATAATAAACAAACCGCTTAATGAATCTCTCGCAGTTACGTTTTCGGCCCGTTCATATTTTTTGTTATTAAAACTTTCGGAATGAGTACCCCCACTACCAAGCGAGCGATGCGCCAACTTTCTGTGCGGGAAAAAATATCAGCCGTACAGCGAGTCCACGACGGCGAGTCCAAAGCGTCGGTGGCGCGTATGATCGGTGTACCGGAGTCCACCCTGAGAGGCTGGTGCAAGAACGAGATGAAGCTGAGGACCATGAGTGACAAGGGGTCCAGCGAGTCACCGTCGCCGTCGCCGCCGCTACCGGACGCCAAGAGACCACGGCTGGACGACATGAACGACGCCCTCTGGTTCTGGCTGAGGTCCCAGCAGTCACAAGAGACTCCGGTGCCGCCGGCCGCGGCGCCGCTCAACAACAACCACAGCTCCTGGTTCTGGAAGTGGTACAAGGAGTTCGGAGTGCCGGAGGTGCCGATGTCCGAGCCGTCCCCGCCAGCTCCTCGCTCTCCCTCGCCTAGTCCCAGCCCTGAGGAGCCTCTGCCACTGGTCGTCCGACGAAACAAGGTAAGATAAGATACGGGACGCTCTTACAGTAAACAATCAGTTACGACCTAAGAAAAAGTGGTTAAGTGTTGAAAGGTTAACGAGGTTAAACAGTTGTTTTCAAGTTTCCTGAACTAGTATTCTTACACGACTTTTATGTTGCTTCATTTTATATTACCGATTTACGAAATATGTGTCTATAATAGAATTATAAGGTATGCATGCGCTGATGGCAATTTTAAATAGATCTATCCCACACTTTAGTACCTACTTAAAATGAAGTAGCGAATGCTATAGGCCTATCATTCACAACCTCTTTCTAAATTTAGTCGAACCACTAAATTTTAAAAGAAATCCGAGGAACAGTTTTATATCGTGTTATTTATTTAAAACATGCATCTAATGACATAATGCACAATGACGCTCAAAAGTGTACTGAAAATATCGCGAACAACTGAAGATTTCCATTTAATTGATGTAATTTTAATAAATTGGATGTTTCAAACAATATCTACTTCACATGGGCTAATTTTATTTTGACTGTCCTGTCTTAAGAAGTTAGTGGAATGTGAATGGTCTCTCCCACGAAATGAACTATTGCAGTATCAAGTTTAACGGCTGAAAGGAAACGTTTGATAATATTTAGTTTTAGTTCTATAAAACATTTAAGTAAAATCATAGGTGATCTTACCTTTCCGAACTCCACGATTGGCTTATATTTTCCCAGAGTATCTATAGTGTGGCGTGTTTTGTCGAATGACAAGAGATTTAGTATTAATTCACTATTATTATTTGTATTATTTCACTATTATATTCTTTACGGTAATTAAGTATTCGGCGCAAGTGAACGTCCTAAGGTCTGTCGAGCGGAGATCTTATGATATCGTTATATATGTTATAACGTAGGAAAGAAATGCGATTCAGTCTGCATTATTTCCAAGTAAATTTAAGTACTGACGGGCATCTCAGTAACTGCAATCTTTATCAATGATAATATACACTTACTGTATTCAATAAACTCAAACACAGTAAATTCAACCCGTAATGAAGTCTACATTCGTTATCGCTAACTAATTGTGGACTCACGTTACTAAACGTCTACGATTATGTTAAAAGACATAGACTCAGTAAAGATGGAGAATATTGCTGTAGTTTTCACGAGAAAACAACATGAAAATGAATTTGAACTGGCTACCCAATGTTTAAATAATTACTCGTAATCTGATTGAGGTGGGCAAACCTGTTCATGGCATAGTTTTAAAATAACAAAATAATTTATTGTAGTTTTATTAAGCTTAAAGAAACAACATTTTTGAAATGTAAAAGATTATTGCATTAATGGTTTTCGGTCGAAAGATAATTATGAAAATGCGCAATTTGCGCACAAGTTACTTCGTAAATAAATAATTTTATGACATTAATATGTCATAAGTTGTGCTTGTAGTCAGTTTCAAACATTCTCTTCAGGAGTGATCAGAAGGAAAACAAATAACCAGATAAATTAAAATCCATTGTTATTGACAATTTCAACTGTACACTAACTTACGGTTTTGTTATATTCTGACACTGATCCTATCAATAGAACAGATCTTCTAGTTAACCAAGCTTATTTAAATAGGCTACCTATTTCAACGTTGGCAGTGTTTATACTCAGATAACGAAGCTCGTGTGAAAACAAATTCCCTCAAATGTTTAGCAACCCTTTCCTACTTCGATAACTTCATCATCGCGTAAGCAAGAAATGCAGACCACATAACTCCGCGATCATTATCAGTCTCTACTCACTCGTACTCTGGTTTGATGTTTGATGATATGTTTTTAATTTGAGTTGTTTATTTTTCTGAACAATTTATTTTGTATGCGCCATATAAGCTTAAAATACAAACAATTGATCAAGTCAGGTACACATCATTGATCTGTTTTTCGTCGTCGTACGTGTAAGTACGATGTAATTAAGTCTTAATGGGATGGAAGGCTGGTTAAATAAGCGAGTCTGCATATAAACTCTAGCTAACTGGAGTTTATTTCTCATGCCCATACTTTTTTGTAGAAAATGGACCAAACATATGTATATGTATATGTATTTTTGAACTTAACTAATTTTCATGTATTGCAATTAACTGTAACGGGAGTATTTTTAAAATTTACGTTTCGTTTATAATTTCTATGGTTGTCTCGGTAATTTGTGTGGTGCAAATTGTCCCCACTAGCAATTTAACTCACAGTGTGCTACTGTAATAAGATAATAGTATATTGCGTAATTGATCGAAATAAGGAAAGAGAACAATAATTATTTTTGGCACTAGTGGACTCTGTGAGTGTGAGTAGGCCATTGGATCCTTTCTTTTTTACATCTGAAAAATCAAAACTTTCTACATCTAATCCAATAGATGTTGTCTACAATCGAAAAGTAATTGTAGACATGAAAGTATAAAACAGAACCAGTTTAATTGTTCGAATGTAACATCACTATTCAGTAGTGAGGTAGTGATCCACGACGCAGCAGTGTAGGCACGTCACGCCTCGCGGTTTAGGACCCGGACCTCCCCGGCTATACCGAGAAGTCACTCCGCGCTCCGGACGTTCCTTATCAGCCGCGGCACGCCCCCACGCCAGCCACCACACAGCAACTGCCATTACATCTTGAATGATCAATGATCTAGTAAGTTTTGGATACTCAATGTAGGGATCACGATTAAAAACATGAGTACTTTGATATCTGGGGTAGCGGAATTTTATCCCCCTGAGCAAAACTGACGTCACTCACCAGGGGGTAAGATTCGGCCGCGAACTTTTACGTAATATTATCATTTTTTAAAATAAATTAAAGGTTGAATAAAACGTTTATTTTCACAGTTGTGGGTGTAATCAGGACATATCAAATTATAAAACCAAGAGTGTACGGGCCGGAATTTTACCCCCGGACTTTTACCCCCTCCATGAGGTCAGCTCAAAATGTACGGCCCGGATTTTTACCCCCGGAATTTTACCCCCTGGCCAGATATAGAAATTAGTGAGAATAATTAATTTCCTTTTTTCACTTTTAATTTAATAGTAAATGTTTTATTATTAAGTAGCCTATCTTAATTTATTTGTAACCTCATCAGCTAATGACTAATAAATTAAGATAGACTATTTAGTAATAAAATGTTTACTATTCGATCAAAACTGAAATTAGAAAATTAATTAATCTCACTAATTTCTATATCTGCACAGGGGGTAAAAATCCGGGTTTTATTGCTAATCTAATTTATCACGCTCTCTCTAGACTCCCAAAACCGCGGGGGTAAAATTTCGCCTGCGAACTAAATTAACTTTAGAGCGCTTAGGTTACTATGTCATAGTGACGTCAGCTTTGCCCAGGGGGTAAAATTTCGGCCACCAGATATTCTACCTACAGACGGCTTAAAGTTTGGTAACACTTTTATTCGGTTTCATCTGACTACCCTTGCTTATCGGTCACTCTCATATCCTCCGAAAAAATCCAGAAAAATTTGGCATAAAACACTCAAAAGTGCATGGTTTAAAAACTTAAGAACTTAAATAAAGATATGATGACAGAAATGCCTAGTATATTTCAGTTCCATTACAGGTGGAAGTGGTTTCGGTTTGCAGGTGAGGCGTAGACCACTACAGCATTAAGCATTACAACAAAACAAGAATTGACTCAGAGTAGAGAACGATACTTTTCAAACTTAATTGACTAGATAACTAATTTTTGCAACACTAAAAAATCATCAAATTCAACTTATCTTTATAATGAATTTGTCATAGTTTTAATTGTATTTAATTAATAGAGGGTTTTTAAGCCTTAAGGTTTATGAGTCACATACTTTTATCGTTGATTACAGTCAAATTTTATGCTCGAACAGTAAAACAGTAAAAATAACATAGACCTATTTATAGGCTATATAAAAATAATAATAAAAAAGTAAATACCCCCGCCGCAGCAAACGTGCAGACTAAGCGAATTTCCATTTGACTGATTGGATTTACACTGAAATGTCTACTAAAAAATATAACATTTATTCTCTATTTAAAAAGAATTAGTATAACTAGTACTTAGGTTTGCTGCATCAGGGAGGGTAACACTGTTTTTTTTTTTTGTAAAACGTTAATAGTTAGTAAGAAATAAAAACATTTTCCAAATTTGATCAAAATATGTTCATAAACAAGCAAACTACAACAATTTACTTATTCTCCATAAGAATAACATGGGAATTTTAAATTTACAATTTTTTGGAATTTTCTCCGTAACCATTAGGCGCATAATAACGCTTCAATATACTAAATTATTTGTTTTTTTAAGCTCTACAAAATGGTTTGGAAAGAAATTGCTAAATTTTATGTTTTTTGGGTCAAAAATGGGAAAAACCTATTTTTACCCCATAAAACCCCCCCGTAAACCCCCGTTCCCATGGTCCGATCATGCTGGATCGCGAACTCGTTCAAACAAACGTAGGTTTACACGTTTGTACCAAATTTCATCAAAATCGGATCATTTTTGCTCGAGTTATCGTGCTAACGGACACATATATATATATATATATATATATAAATATATATATATATATATATATATGAATTTGAACGGATGGTGTTTTTGGCCTCTAGGGACCTCAAAATGAAAAAAAAAAATCGGTCCCGCGTCCAGGTCTTACCATGAGTACTACGGTAATAGCTTATTCCCCAGGGGTGCCCACAAGGGGGGGCCGTGACGCAGACTGCGTCATTGATATTCTTGGGGGGGGCTCAAAAAATTCAAATGGGGGGGGGCTAAAGTTAATTGCAACAGTGTTCAACGTGACGAAAATCCAAAATACATTACGAAATCACCAGATAGAAAGTGGATAATTAATGACAATAGTTATATTATTGAATTAAATGAGTTAAAACAGGATTTTAGGATAGTTTAGGATTCGTGTAGAAAGTTATTATTTAAGATTAGCAAGACGTGAGATCTAAGCGAGGGAGGGCACGGGATGGCTCAACTGCTGTGATAGATAAAAGATAACGCGTGGTACAGACACGTCCAGCTACACCACACAGCAGAACGCTTTGTTGACATAAAGCTCGTTAAAATACAATCAAGTAGCAAGTAGCATAGGCTACAATACTTTACAATATTGTGTATACTCGATTACCTGAGTTAATAGGGAGAGGGGGGGAATGAAAAATAGGTTAATCCAATATAGTATAAAAACAGATGACAAACTCATTAAAACTGTAAACAGCCATTAAGTCACTATTTACATTTTTATAAACGAAATTCAATATTGCACAATCATTATTATTGTAAATTTCAAATCATTTATCTTGGTTCAGTTGTACAAACGGCAACGTTTAAAATTGTAGCTAACTCAAACTCAACTAATCACTAGCCAAACATTACATTGCTATAAATAACGTAAATATTAAAGGAACCTTTAGAAAGTGTGTTATAAGGTACTGCTTATGATAGACAGATAGGCTACCGATGCTGTATCACAGCATAGGAATTGATAGATAAGTAATAAAAAAGTGTAAAATTCTATTTAGAGATAATTAAAACACTCTTAAAAAAGAATGTAACGAGAACAATCTTGTTATTCTCTTTCTTTGTTCTTCTGTTCATTAATAGGTTTCTCTTCAATACATACACAAATTCAACAAGTCGCCATATGTAGGCCTACTCATTGGCCAATCACAGCCTTACTAAAGTTACCATGGTTATCACTCAATCACAGTGTACTAAGCATTATATCGTCATCATTCCCCAGCTGTTGTATCTGAAATCTGTTGTAACATAGCGCACAGCAGACAGAAGTGTATAACGGAGCAGACGATTGTTGGCGCAAGCGTTGTTTCCATTACATTTTCATCAAAGGAGCTGTGATGTTTCTAAAGGGAGGGAGAGAGGATCGTTATATCGAGAAAGACGCTGACAATTCGTTATGGATATTCTGGCAATAAAAAATTCCTTAAATTGAGGTGACTTATAAAACTCTAATTTTATTTATATAGAAAGATAAGTTTTCCAGTCCTGTACAACACTGATTCACGGTCTTTTCCCTGTAATCAAATTCAAGTACAACTTGATACACACAGAATCTCTGGTTCCCGACCTGGATGATGGCTAGTTATTTAATTTAATTTACAGTTACATACAGTACTCGTGATAAATCAAAACCCGTTATGTAAGCCAAAGCCACACGGTTATTAATCTCACTTGGTTTTGGATTTGCTTACAAACGTGATCGGAAATGGTTAGGGCCTACACAGTATTCTTAAAGAACATTTATGTAAACATATCAGTGACAGCTAGGAAAAGAATCTTTATCAAAACAGCTATTCGTAATTTCATATACAGGGTGACAAAAAAGTCTGGAAACGGCTTAATATCTTTTTAACTAAATTCGTTAGAAAATTCAAACATTTTACATCAAATTATATGTATGAAAACTACTTTTTGCAATCATTGCCATTATTTGACCTTCACCAGGGGACGGCCCACGAGGAGTAGGTACATAATCTTTCACGTAAGCATAGGTTGATATGCACATCATTTTAAAGGTCTGGTCAAGTGGAGTTCATTGCCGGAAACCGCGTCCAAAAAGGTTCATCCGTTACAAAATGGCAGCTGTCCAAAGTTCTTGTGAAATATACCTGCACAGGCCTTAATATGGGCAAATACTCGTATTAAACATTAGTTTGAGAGCTTAAACTGTATTTTAAAGTCAACTAGCTCATAGAATAATAGTATTCAATCTTCAAAACAAATTTAACCGGGTTTCAGATTTCCCTGCTAATGTTGACTATGAGTATTTACCAATACTAAGGCCTCTGCAGGTATATTCCGCAACAACTTTGAACTGCCGCCATTTTGTAACAGATGAACCTTTTTTGACGCGGTTTTCGGCAATGAACTCCACTTGACCAGACCTTTAAAATGATGTGCATATCAACCTATGCTTACATTAAAGATTATGTACCTACTCCTCGTGGGCCGTCCCCTGGTGAAGGTCAAATAATGGCAATGATTGCAAAAAGTAGTTTTCATACATATAAGTTGATGTAAAAGGTTTGAATTTTCTAACGAATTTAGTTAAAAAGATATTAAACCGTTTCCAGACTTTTTTGTCACCCTGTATAACGTGTTCTCTTAACAGATTATTAGTATTTCATAAATTAATGACGTATGTAGTAAACATGGAGAAAATAAACTAGAAAAATCACACAAAATTGTATTTTTGATCGTCCGTTATTTTACTTCCAAAATAGTGATGTCATATTTTAATGGCTATAAGGACTCTCTCGCCAATCCTGTGGATACAATTAAACCATTAGAATCATAATCGGTACTCTAGTTTTCTTTAGAGTAGGCCATGAGTAGGCTGCATAAAATGCCTTCTGGGCCGTGACAGACGGACATAAATGGAGATAAGACATGTTTCAACTTCTTCAATGTATAAAACATAAATAATCCAAAATATGTATAATTCTGAACAATTTACAGACAAAACTATAACTGTATTGATATAGATTAACTGGGTTTGAATTTTAAATATCTGAAAAAATTATAAAACTTCTTTTATAGTTTTACAAATAGTGCTGGGCGGGGGAATAATGTTTCTCATTTGTTGTGTACATCATTTATGGGGGGGGGGCTGTTGCTCAATTGGGGGGGGGGGTGCGTCATGAGTCTAGGGGGGGATGGGCACCCCTGTATTCCCTATATGGGAAATTCGCTAAAAATAAAAATTTAACAGCAAAAGAAATATGTGTGTAGCTACAGCAGGATACTGTACAATGAGAAAGAGTCTTAAATATTATTAACTATTCCTAGAACTACAGGAATATTATAGTTAAAATAAATTTAGACCATTGTAAAATTATACAAGTTAAAATGAATTATTAATGCTGACTAAAATAAATTGTCTTTTTCATTCATGTTAATAATAGGCAATCTTTGTTTGAAATCTGACTAATAATCTAACAAATCTCAGGTAGCTTAAATCAAATTCTTAAATAAATGAATTTTAAAATTACCACAGCACATTTAGAAGTCATCTTAACGATTCATGATCACTTCAAAAGGCACAAACCCAAGAAGAATACAAACATTTCCCTTGTAGTTAAATATGTTTAAACCAAAGATACAAAATCCCAATTACCTTGAATCTTTTTTAACAGCCTCATAATCAAACTTGTCACACAATTTAAATTGTCAAAAGAGTTTTTTAATCTATTAAAGAATATGAAATCATATACAGAAAAAGTTAGATTAATTGATTTGTATGTCAAGAAGAGTAATTTTTCATGGTTGAGATTGTATGGATGACTTAGAGAGCTAAAATGTCACTTCCCTCCTCAAGTTTAACATGTTTAAAATGTTGAAACCCCAAAGCCATAGAACAATGAAATGAACAAATGTGAAATGCTAAAGGAAAAACAACAATGTTCAGATGGTTGTTAATTTCAACTGAACAAAGCATTTATAAAACCCCTCCCAGCTCGGTATGCTTTGAAAGTAAACTGGTAAAATCACGGCGGGATTGATTCCTATTCACCATCACATGTAATACTTGTTACAGGATATCAAGGAGCAGTGCACAGTTATCACTTCAGTTCCCGTGTCAGTGCCACTGACAACACCAGTACTGGTGGACAGTAACAAGGAGGCAGAGTCTGAAGCCAAAGAGAACACAACAATATCAGAGGACGAGGATGAGCCGCCAGCCTCAGCTGCTGATGCCCTCAAACATGGAGAAAAGTTCCTAAGATGGCTAGAATGCTGCTCAGACCCAAGTGTCACTGCAGTCCAGCTGCTACAGTTTAGGTGAATGCAAACACAAAACTTACAAATTCAGACAAATATGATTGAAGGATCCTTGGTGGTTAGCCCCTAATACTATACTGTCTTGAAGATAACATAAGTTACATTAACTTTAAGTTACAGCAAAGGTAGTTATATAATTTTGTTCAAAATTAAAGGGCTATAACATACTACAATTTTATCAAAATCGTTTGGGCCATTTTTGAGATAATCTGGGTTTTCCCTCACCATATTTTATGGGAAAATCACCATTAAAATCAAAATTTCCAAAAAGTGAAAAAACCCCTGCCTGTAGATAGCATGGATAGTACCTAAATACTAAATGTCATCTAAATCGAACATAGGTGGGGTATCTGTACACTTCCACATATACAGACAGACAAACACACACACACACACACAGAGACATCACTTTGGAAACCACTTTTTTGGGTCCAAGGGGGCCCAAAACGGATATATATCCACTCAAAACTCAACCCCAAAAATGTTGACGAAAACAATACATTCTCCATATAGGCTACTATGGTATAGGGGGAGAAACAAAGATTTAAAACATGTAAAAATGAATGTTTCTTTTTTTAATTGCTACTTGATTCAATATTAGTAATTATATGTCAGGCTGTGTGAGAATTTATAAAATATGATAGAGAAACATTAGTGATATGATAGTGAAATATGTAACCATGATTAACTAAATGTTGAATAAGGTGGTTTGAAAGTTAACTCGGTAGAGGCCGCACTGAATTGAAAACGGGGAGTCGAACAACCGGATACAATTAAAAAGCCATATTTCAGTAGGCATTAAATGTTAATTGCTCAAAATCGTAAAAATGGTGTAAACATTTAATTTACAACCTTCTGAATATGCTTTAGATGATAAAACATAAAATGGACAGGTGTAATAAAATCGTACAACATGCACTGTTTGTTTTGTGTAAACCATTTCATATATAACTCAATAATGCCTCAAAAGTTTTTTTATATATCTATAAATAACAATACATATGAAGCACACTGTATTGTATACTAAAAAAAAAAAATATTTTACCAAAAAAGTTTAGTTATAAATAAATAATTATAAGTCATAATTCTAAGTCATCAGTCTTGTAAAGATAAAATTCCTTTTAGGTTTTAAGATTCTTCTTTATCATAAATGTTTGTGTCTCTCATCAATGGTTCATTGAAAATATGCCTTGGAAAATATCCGACATGCCTCACTAAACATTCAACATCCTCATCTCTCAACACGACGATGGACTATCCCTATACTTTACTTGTTAGATTCCACGTCTTGCCACTGAGAGATACATAAATACTAATCTGTGGCCCAGCACATAACTTAATGGTAATACCAATGAACTAAAACTGCAGCCAAACAAAAATTAAAAGAAAAATAAACATTTACGAAACACGATGAGACGCACACGGTGGAATATGCCAGTACATGACAAACAGCTGTCGCTAGACTAAAATGAGGAGGTGAAGGATGGCAAAAAATAGGTCACAGTGTTCCTGGAATGCGATGTGTTATGCACAGTAAAGGCTGACCACACCGACAACCAATAAATTTTTACGCAAAGAAGTACAAACCCGGTCATTTTAGACAGCTATGTGACCTCTTGCTGGTTAAGGGACTTATCTTTTTCATCTATAGGCTACACAACTAACTACTTCCTTAACTTCAAAACAAAATTTATAGTTACTGTTCCGATTTTATTTTCTAGTATCTAGGTTGATGCTATATCATTCACCTTGTTATAGGTATCTTCTGAACAATGTCAAGAGCTGTGCTGAGCGGCGAGCCGCAAACAAGACAAGAACAACTCGGTCCAGACGGAAATAGTGCACCAGTACCATTGTAAATAAGAGAATTGCTCACAGTAAGTATGCAAAACAAGTCCAGTAACGAATTAGTAAATATTATTTGAACTAAACATAAACAATGTCTGACTAAACTAAACATAACAACTTCAATATGCCTAGGTCAAGGCCCCACTAGAAAAACAGGCCATGCTGCAGGATCTATGACGTCACTCTAGTAGATAGATTTAATTGATAAGTTCATTGCCATCTTCATTCCCATATGTTTAAGGTAAATAAACAAGCTGCCTGTTTGTAAGTTTTTAATGGTAAGAGTTTAGTACAACTATCCACCACTGTGACGTAGTGTTGCGCTGCCTGTGCTGCAGCATGGCCTGTTTTTCTAGTAGGGCCTTGCCTAGGCTCTAGGACAGAGTATAACAAGAAATTGTGTAATAAACTAGGTGGCGTTCGCAGAGGCATCCACAAAATTGAGCTTGGACTCTTGGACCCTTGGACTCATCAAGGGTTCATATTATATTGTTTTTGTCATACTGCAGTAAAAACAGTAGTTTTGAATGCATTTGTTGCGGGTCTAAAGTAGCAGGGAGTAAAAATCGTTTTTAGCCTCTATGGAGTAAAAATCAGCTGTTGTCAACTCAGTTGTAAGTTTCGATTGTAAATGATTGTATGTATCGAAAATATGTATCGATTCGTGCTTCGTAATCATTTTAACATACAGTCTACAGTCTCTTCCCATATAATTTTAGCATTTCAGATACATTAATCCATTCCCAAACTCAACACTGCTCACCTTTACTACTTCCTTCACCACGCCCTACGTCGTGGACCTGTTTCCCTCTCTTCCCATAGCATTTTAGGATTGCAGATACATTAATGTAATTGCCAAAGACAGTTCCCACACTCTGCACTGCTAGCGTTACTACTTCCTTCACCATTTACTATGTCATAGACCTGTTTCCTTCCTTTCTCATAGCATTTAAGTATTACAGATCCATTTACCTATAACTGCCCAAACGGTTCCCCCACTTTGCACTGCCAGCCTTTACTACTTCCTTCACCACTTCCAACGTCGTGGGGCCTGTTTCCTTCCCTTCTCATAGCATTTTAGTATTGAAGATACATTAATCTAACTGCCACAGACGGATCTCACACTATGCTGATGCTCATACTTTACTACTTCCTACGCCATGGACCTGTATTCATCACTTTCCATAGCATTTTAGTATTTTAGATACGTTAATCTAATTGGCACAAACATTCCCACACTCCGTACTGCTAGCATTTACTACTTCTTTCACCATTTCCTATGTCGTGGGCATGCTTCCATCCCTTCTCATAGCATTTCAGCATTGCAGATACATTAATACTGCTACAAACGGTTTCCAGCTCCCACACTCCACACTGCTCACCTTACTACTTCTTTCACCTCTTGCAACGTCGCGGATCTGTTTCCCTCTCTTCCCATAGCATTTTAAGATTGTAGATACCTAAATCTAATCGTCATAAACAGATTCCACACTCCGAACAACTCGCCTTTACTACTTCCTTCACCACTTCCTAATCGCGGACCTGTTTCCCTCCCTTTCCGTAGCATTTTAGGATTGCAGATACCTTATAAACAGTTCCCACACTCGGGACAGCTCGCCTTGACTACTTCCTTCACCACTTCCTACGTCGGGGACCTGTTTTCCTCCCTTCCCATAGCATTTTAGGATTGAAGATACCTTAATCTAATCGTCACAAACAGTTCCCACAGTCCGGACTGCTTGCCTTTACTACTTCCTTCACCATATCCTACGTCACGGACCTGTTTCCCTCCCTTCCCATAGCGTCATAGGATTGCAAATACCTTAATCTAATGGTCACAAACAGATCCCACACCCCGAACAGCTCGCCTTTACTACTTCCTTCACCACTTCCTACGTCGCGGACCTGTTTCCTCCCTTCTAATAGCATTTTAGGATTACAGATACCTTAATCTAATTGTCATAAACAATTCCCACACTCCGGACAGCTTGCCTTGACTACTTCCTTCACCACTTCCTACGTCGCGGACCTGTTTTCCTCCCTTCCCATAGAATTTTAGGAATGCAGATACCTTAATCTAATTGTCATAAACAGTTCCCACACTCCGGACAGCTCGTCTTTACTACTTCCTTCACCACTTCCTACGTCACAGACCTGTTTTTCCTCCCTTCCCATAGAATTTTAGGAATGCAGATACCTTCATCTATACATAATTTGCCTCCAGGATTGATTTAATGACTTAAAAAGAGGTTACTAACCTGTCGTCAATCAGTCCTATATATTGTCGTTGATGACTAGTTTCGGGGCTAAAACCCCATTTTCAAATCTTCTCTTTCAGTCGTCATATGTCAAACATATCTTCTTGCAAGAAGATATGTTTGACATATGACGACTGAAAGAGAAGATTTGAAAATGGGGTATTAGCCCCGAAACTAGTCATAAACGACAATATATAGGACTGATTGACGACAGGTTAGTAACCTCATTTTAAGACCTTCATCTAATCGTCATAAACAGTTTCCACACTCCAGACTGCTCGCCTTTACTACTTCCTTCACCACTTCCTACGTAGCGGACCTTTTTTCCTCCCTTCCCATAGAATTTTAGGAATACAGATACCTTAATCTAATCGTCATAAACAGTTTCCACACTCCAGACTGTTCACCTTTACTACTTCCTTCACCACTTCATACGTCACGGACCTCAAGCTAGTGTCGTCATATGATTATATTTATGATCCATACCGTTTCTGTTCTAATATCTGTGGAATAATGCTATCAGCTATTTCTTTATCTACTGCATTCAAAAGTCAACAGCTGATCATATGTCTTTGTTTATGGGTCAAATACTGCTTCCATAAGGATTACATTGAAACTTTGAGACCCAGTGGGGCGGATTCCTGAGAGACTTTTATATAGATGTTGGCACTCACCGATTGCCATGCAAAATTTGAAAACGATTGATTCAGCCGTCTAGGAGGAGTTTGCGTATTACGAAATGCATAAGAGTCAATGTATAGGAGCTTCGCTCGCTCCGCTCAATAATAACTTTATACCTACAACATTATTTCTTTACACAAAAGACAGCTAATATAAGGCTACATTAAATGTAAGCAATTGATGTAAAATCATTTTTTTTCAGATCGTCAAGACCAGTAACGAGCAACGATCCAGAATTATAGTTGAGTTTTTTATTCATTCTAAGACTGTTAATTTGTTGTTCCTTTAAGTGTTATAAAATGTATTCATTTTTATTACGTTTCTTGTTTGAAAAGTTGCAAGTATGGTTTGCTTGTTCAGTTTTGAAACGATATGTGATAAATCATTTTAGTAGTTAAATAATACTGAAGATTATAAAGTAAGCGCAGGTTGATTTATAGTTTATAAGTCAAGTAAGTGATTATTTCACATTATAATTGATAACATTACCTATATTTAGTCACATGAAGTATAAAAACAATTGAAGGGTAGTTAAGTATAAATTAAAAATTGATAATACAAAACCAAGGTATATACAACACCATTTTATACGTACAGGAGAGGTTAGAAATTAAGAACTTACCATAAGATGTGGACATTGGAGAGGTTCGTAAACTATATGATCAGAAACAAAACTCGCACACCCTTGCCAAGTGTGCATCTCGGGGTAACAGAGCTTTGTAGGACGGATGGTAGTTGAAACCATTTTCTGAAAATATACGAATTAATTACTTTTATCACTAGTGGGTTAAAATTGTGATGTTGCCAATATTGATTCTATATTTTTATAAGATGACTTGTGTGTAAATAACAATATTGGTTAATTTTTCCACAATATTATAAGGTTGTTTGATAAATAGATAAAATCAAAATAGATACGTTATGGTGTTGTATAGTGAAATTTATATAATATTTTGTTAGAGGGTCGCATTTTATTATTTTACAATTTTAGAGTTGGAGACCCTGGCTTGTTCAGACCCCTCGCTTCATAGGTGAATATTCCTTGCAGTACATTACCAAAGTGTTACAGTTAGATCTCAATGTAATGTTCATTTCAGTTGTGTACATAATATATAAATGATTGTTTGTTAGTATCGTACATGTAATTGGATCATTCCACTGTTTACAAGTTAGCACTACAAGCAGTGCTGCCACAAGAGGAGTTCCTGAGATCCAAGACTAACAGAGCCAAAATATCTACAGAACAAACCATAAGTTTGTAGACACTACTCATTTCATATTTGATTTCCATCATGGTTCTTATAGCTTCTGTCATGGTCATCTCACATGAGAACTCTATGGACATGCAAGAAGCAACATATCCTTGTGGCAGCCCTGAATATTTATGTTATGATGTTTAATCTTTAATTATTTTGAGGGTTTCATACCAAAGAAAAAGATGAAAACACAAGGCTCCAATGTATGTTCTAAAATTAAGATAAGACATTTTCAACACTTTTTGCTTGTTAGTTGTTGTTATGAATGTGTAAAAGATTACATTTAATTATGTTTGTATCTCATGCCATTGCCTGGCTACGAATCTATTCATTAATTCAACAGTACATTTAATACATACGTGTATCAGATTTCATCACCAAAGCCAACAAAATTTTAAACAAGGTTCACAACCAAATAAAAACGTGTAAAGTTACCAGGAGTTTGTATTGTTCATTGTGCCAAATATTTGTTTCTTCCCAAGTTCCCCTCTTGATAAAGCAAGAATTGTATACTGAAGATTATCTATTTGTACTTTTAATCTACCATTCCGCAACTGGAAAAACTACATGTTTTTACAGAGCATTAGATAATTTCAACGAATACTTGTTATAGTCTTTGATTGTGAATATTTGTGTAGAGGAAAGCCACAAACTGTTCCGGATATGTAGTTAATAAATTGTGTGGGCTTAGTTATATTTGTATCCAATAAACATATTTGTCTTTTGTAAATAAATAGTTATGTTAAAACTTTTGTGTTTTTAATATCACTGTAGAATACAGTAGTTAAAAGAAACTGTTAATTTGTAGTGATTACTGATAGTATGTTCTTTTGGACTGCTTCCTAGAGTGCTAGCTACCCAATAGCTCTGCGGCATAGAAGTACAGGTAGCCAGCCATATGAGAGCGTTCACACGGGTAGTCGGGTTGTGCTAAATCTCGCTTTCTTGGCTTTGTTTTCATTCCAGTGATTGATCCCAATGAAGAAGTTGTGTCTTTGGAATACTTGTCTTGCAGAATACCAGGCCTGTGGTTTTAATGTGATGCACTATGGGCCCAAAAGATGCTTGTGCCCCTCTCCACCTTGTGGGGGAATTATTTTCTTCCTTGGGCCCACCAGGCATCTATATAATTAATACGCTACATGAAACTTTGTCGGTTGAACTCCTCCGCCATTTATTAACCGATTTCATCCATTGACGTCTCACTGGAAAGAGCGTGTCGCGTAGATTTGCAAACTGGCCTTACATTTTTGAAAAAGTCCTTTGGGCTCTGCCCCAGTGGCTTTGAAAGTTTCCATGTTATCCTTATGAGGAACATAATTGTTTACATTTTGATCAGCTGTATAATTTAATTGCTGTTATTTATTTTTCAACTCAATGAAACGCATTGAGTACATTGTTTACTATTTGAGTTTGTGTAAACATAACCCCCAAGACGGATCGTGTTAGTATGGTTTTATCTTAAATTTGTGTATTTATGGTTGTTTTGTGTCGCTATGACGGATCGGGTTAGCATGATTCTAACTTAAATTTGTGCATTTATAGTGTTTTTGTGTACCTATAATTTGTTTATTTGTTGTTGTTTTTTTCTTTTAAATGTCTCTGACGCGACGAAAACGAAACATAGACAGGAGGCGTAATCGTGATAACGACCGCAGCTACAGATCAGTGGCGCGTATTAGGCTTAACTCATCACAGTCGGCACCTGACCCTGGACACACTCAACTATTAGGTTACAAATGCGCCCTAACACTACCCCAAAACGACTTTTTGTTCTCAATTGGCCCCCTATCAATGACCTGTGTTGCCTGTACAGCGAGGCATTTAGAGAAGGAGAAAACCGGCCGGAATGCTTTAGGTTTATCAATAACGAAGATAAACATGGTCTGAGTTACACACCGGTAATCTTTGAGTTGACTCTTTTAAACTCATTGTAAATATTACTGTTATTCGTTTTGAAATAACTCCTGTAATACATTGCAATTGCTCGAATTCGAGCAACATGTACGCTAGTATTTATTAATGCGGCCCTGCATCAACTACACCTACCACCCCCAACGACTACTAAACCCCCAACTACCCACAGCTCAACTGGCCCATGATCAACTATTATCTTCCAATTATGTTATCTAATATCTTATTATCTTATCTATTCTAATTATCTATCTATTTTAGATGTCTGTACAGTGTACACTAAACATGCCACAATCCCACATCTCCATCTAGATGCATCCATGGTTGAAAACAGACTAGCGATAATCATTTGTTTCCACAAAGATTAAATTATGAGTTCACAGAAAATATATTAATTCACAGAAGCAGACGCCAGCTGCACCAACATTACTAGATTTTGGCTAAACTAGTGCTCTTAAAAAACTAGTAAAAATATAGAAGTAATACAAATAATTATCATGGTTAAAATAATAGACAATTAATGATCTTTTGGCTTCAATTTCAAATTTAGTTTTGTTTCCGATATTAATTAAAAAATATTGTTCTTAAATCAGGAATGAACTAAATTGCATATAACTATTTGGTAAATTTAGTTACAGCTTCAACAATAGGCCTAACAAAAAACAAAATATCAGTTTATAAACAACTGAGAGGTATCTAAAACTCATTTGAAATTGCCCTATAACCTCATAACAATACGGTTTTTTGGAGCTAAGCATTTATCATAGTTTAATTGATTGTTTATTATCTAAAATTTATTATTCAAATACAAATTTAGCTATGGAAAATCATTGATAATAGTCCAAAACATCAATGCAATAAAAAAAAAAAATTGTCACTTATCGATGTAAAACACATAGAATATTGATAGCAAAACATTGATGTATGAAAAAGATAGGTTATTGATGATCATTCTCTTACGACGTGCCTGTGATCTAGTCTGTGGTGTTATCGCTCGATTGAGCTGGTATGTCACCGGGCTACAACAATTCTATTCACAGCCTAGTCGCTAGATTTGCCGCTCGTGTGAGGTGTTAAGTAAGAGTTGAGTTAGTTTGCAAGATAAATTGATTTTTTAAACTACATCTCTTCTATGCAACCTATTCTAGTTGCTACCTCGCATTACATTTCAGTTGTATTATAACTGCTACTTCAAAGCTTTGTCTATTTTTCATTACTTCCATACTTATACAATATATAGATTTCCCAGAGGTTCCGGTCTGCTGGCAGACCCAAATATTCATTTGCCTCCTTCTTGACATGAAGGATTGCACTCACGACAATAATCTATGCCTTCATCTTGTAGTTCTGTATGGGCATAACATTATTGCCTGTTAGTGGAAGCTTACTTAACATTAAACTTAAAATATTCTAATTTCTATACAGGTATGATACTAATGAAATATTAACACGTTCGCTGCCGCGGTCATTGCCACAGACCGAGGTATACATTTCAATCTTACACATAGACCGGCTGTCACTTGGATAACAGTACACACAGACCACGGGCGAAAACCTGTAAAACAGTGATCATTTACATTGTAATACGCTACAATAGTGTTTGTAAATAAATTGTTCTTGTTTCTTGTATTTTTTATAACCTTTTGTAATGTCGCATATTTGCGACGCCCGGTCTACAGCGAAGACAATAGTGAAAATTATCATAGTTTTCTTGAAATAGACTAAACGTCGCATGTATGCGACGGCTCATTTTTTGTGTTTTAAGGTGAAAGTAAGTAAAAAAATAAACAGATTATTCAAGAACAGTTTATAACTGAACAAATATAAAAGCTACATAGGATAATGCAGCATACATACTGCATACATACATACAGTGATGCAGAAAAGTAAAGAACAGTTTTTCCAAGTATCATATGACGTCACCAATCATCATATCCACAGACCAAGCGACGCAGTTGTGCGTCAGACATCTCTGTAGACCACTGCAGGGAATTCAGTGCCTTCAAATAGACCACTACAAAGATATAAGCATTTTAATAACATTAGAACCCCGACGCAAATATGCGTCGGCAGTCTATTTTAATGTATGCGACGGCAGTCTATGGGTAGAAACCGGCCGTCGCATATGTGCGTCGCTGGTCCATGTGAATGGAAAATTTCGTACTATTGCAGTAGCGAACGTGTTAAAGGAAATAAATAGTAGCCTAGCTAGTTAGGGGAGACACAGGAGAGAGAGAATTGTTCATAAATATTCTACCTTGATACCTTGAAGAAAGCAGCCGTTAACCAGTAGACTGGAATGGGCCTTGTCGTTAAAAATTTATTAAAAATTAAATTAAAAATGTTCTATTATATTAATTAATAGTGTCCCACTTTGGTTAACTTCAAATGCAAAACGTTTCTTCGTATTTTCTTGTATAGGAGATAAAACATTTTAAATACCATACCACCATTGCAGCAGACATGCAGACTAAGTAAATTTCCATTTGTTTTATTGGATTTTCTCAAAAATATGTCCTTAATTCCAAATTTACTCCCTATTAACACAACTTTACGTTTAATCAGTACTTAGGTTTGCTGTTACAGTACAGGGAAGGTAATAAAAATGTGTTTTTTAGTAAAATGTTAATACTTTATTTATAAAATCTATAATTTTGGCAATTTGAATCAAAATGTATTCTTAAACAAGCAAAATACAACAGGTCACTTATTCTCCATAAGAATAACATACAAAATTTAAACTTACAACTTTTTTGGATTTTAACAATTGGTTGTATAAATTGGTATTCGATTCGGGATTCCCTATCTACAAAATTTGTTAATAATGTTTGCAAGAGGAAATGATACACCACTTTTTCAAAGTGTACCTCTGATCCTAATGCATCATTACAATACAATACAATTCAGTTAATACAGTACAATACAAATATTGTTATTCAACAGCTTCAAGCAATGGTGTCATACATTTTCCAAAAGCTGTTTTCAGCACTGTATGTTACCAAATTTCAATGTGTTCACTGGACCACAGGAAGAACTCTTTGATGCTGTACAGAGGAGTTTCCAGAAGCCAGCTGCGAAGTCTTGTTTGTAGAGTGGCGGGGTTTTCATTTTTGATGTGTCGTGGGAGGTGATTGAAGAGGCAGTCTTGTGGTAGGGTGGATTGAAGTCGGCTGAATTTTGAGTGTTGTGATATATTGTGCATGCTGCCCTGCCTGTTGGACTCCAGTTTCCTGGCTTGAAGTATCACCTGGAATGTATATTGAAGGGATAGTGAGGATGCGAAGGTGTTTGAAAACAGCTCTGCTGCTGTCTCTTTATTTTAATCCGGCTAGGGTTCGTACTGCCAACTTCTGGAGAATAAGGATGTACTGGATATTTGCCCGTGACGAACCACCCCAAAATATAATTCCATATCAAAGGTGACTTTCGAGGAGGGCGTGATAGATCATAGCTGCATCTGGAGTATTGGTTGTCAACACACGCCGTATTCCAAAAAGAGCAGAGCCAAGTTTGAGACGGAGCGAACTAACGTGGCTGTTCCATGATAGAGTATCGTCAAGGATCATTCCCAGATGTTAAGTCAAGTCAAGTCAAAGTCAAGTCAAGTCAAATAAATCTTTATTCAGACATACAACAATGTGTACATGAATGCGTCTTAATCTTAATCTATAACTAATACTAAAAACCATTTTCCTGATCCATTTTATCTTTTATTTTTTTTTTACGTATTTACATGTTTATTTACATATTTGAACATAGTGCAGTAAATTCTTCAAAATTATAAAACTCTCCACTAATTAGAAAATTCTTAAGCTTTTTTTTAACTTATTTCCG